CAGGTTTGGATAGGGCTGTACAGTGCGACAAAAATCGGTCTGAGCCTTGAGTAAATGTACTACAGTAGCACGTGTGCAATACAGTTTTATGTGTATGAATCCTTTACAAGCCTGTTGTCCAACAAAGATATTATTGACATGCTCTGCATATTAACTTCATAACAGTCGAGTGTTTGAAATAACTTATTTTTGTGATCAGACGTGGTTTCGTATCACAGAATAAGGCAGAAATCATACTATTTTATAGCATTATATACAGTGATAAAGGCTATGTCGATTAGCATTGCATTATACATATACTTTATCCTTATACAAATACCCAAGATTGCTTGAAGAACACGGATACTATATATTTTGTGCAATCGCTTGTTTATTGTCTTCAGGTTTCTTCAGTTAAAATCTGCGTTTTATTCAGCTACAGCGATCACTGGATACCTCTGTCCATATTAGGGATTTCCTGGAGCATTACTTCTATGCATATGTGGAGTTTCTGTGCAAGGGCGCCCTCCGGCTTCCAGTATTAATTAATACAGTCATTCAATTAAGTGTGTATTGCTCACAACACCCTATTTAGGGTAAAAATAGGAAAGATAATACTTTTCTCTAAAAAAAACAGGATTCCCTAAATTATCGTCATTGATATCGTTATCGCAGTAAATATCAGAAATTATCGTGATACATTTTTAAGCCCATATCGCCCATGTAAGGAATAATGGGTCGTTGAAATGTAGAAAAACAATGCACTGTGCTCCACAATGCACTGTTTTTTTCTATTAATGTTCTGTAATTTTCTATAAGCTCAAGTAGGGGTGGGCGGTATGACCGAAAGTTATTTCACGGTATGAGAAATTTATTTTTTTGCGATAAAAATATATTTGTCTCGATATAGCTATTTCTTTATTTATTTTTTTGTTACTAAAAATAAGAAAAAGAAGCAAATTACAAACACAACAGAACAAATAAATATACAAATAAACATTTAATTCCGCCACACAGGGTTCATGCGGTCACGAAAAACCTGGAAAAGTCATGGAATTTTAAAACGGCAATTTCCAGGCCTGGAAAAGTTTTGGAAAAATCAATAAACCCAGCAGGCTTTGGTGGCGGTGCTGTACGGCCTCATCACATCAGGTGTAAGTGTTTCTACCAGGAGCGCCTGCTTCACGTCACATTTCACGCATTAACATCTCAGCGTTTTGGTACTCTCAGGATCTGATGTATCGCGAGAGCCTTCACTGCATCCTCACCTCCTTCCACATCCTCTCAGGACAAGGTCAGTGCCGCCACAGCTCTGGTTTCGCAAACATCTCGTCCTCGCTGAGCTAAAACACATCTCTGTTTGCAACAGGTGACGTCCTCAACATCGACCCTTTGAAATTCTACAACCACTTATACAAAACGCTGCTGACGCTGCACGCAGGTGAGATCTTCTCCAGTGTCTCTTTGTTCTGCACATGCAGTGACACTGGGTTATTTAATATGAGTGAGAACATCAGTCACTTACACACCGTGGTGTCCCGGACATTTATTTTTAAGAATTAAATGCACAACTGCGAGACCCTCAAAAAAAAGTTTAAACTAAAATGGTTTAAAACACGTGATTTCAGCGTGATAGACATGATAATCAAAACCAAAGAGATATTTTTTTAGCAGAGTATATGAGGTAGGAGCTGTAAAGGCACTGTTCTATTCTGGAAAAGGGGGCGGGGAACAGCAGCTCATTTGCATTTAAAGAGACATGCACAAAAACAGCATGTTTCTGCTTCCACTCAAAATATGCATTTTCAAAATGATATAATAAATTGTCTGTGGGGTATTTTGAGCTGAAACTTGACAGACACATTCTGGGGACACCTGAGACATATTACATATTCAGGATTCGTACCGTCATGAAAAACCTGGAAAAGTCATGGAATTTTAAAACGGCAATTTCCAGGCCTGGAAAAGTTTTGGAAAAATCAATAAACCCAGAAGGTTTTGGAAAAATTTATTTCGCAAATCTCTGTACGATAGGATATATTTTTTTTAATCAGGTCCTGAATTTTGGTGTGGGAGCGTGCATATTTCGCCTAGTTTTACTATAATGCGGGAAATTCCCACAAACATTTATTTAATATTAGCATGTACAGTGTTTCCCACAGACTTGCAATCTATGTGTGGCGGCACTTCCCCTGGGGGGGGGAAATATATAATGTAAATATAAAACAGAAGACGGGCTTATAAAAAGTGCAAATTCATTCTCTGCCAGCAGGAGGCGCTTTAGGAGCAGCAGAAATAGAGCGGTTTCCCCGGTAACGGCTGTAAACAAAGCAGCGTTGCGCTCATGAACGCTACTTTATCAGGCATTATAGGAAAGATTAAATGAAAATGACATCAAAACTTTTCTGAATTCAAAAAAGATACATTTATATAAAAACACCCGTGCTGCGTTTTGATTTTCAAACGTGCAGAGCTCATGTTTATTCAACGAAGTCAAAGCCTTTTGGAAAAACTATTTGTGGCGGTCAGTGTTAATATTGTGGCGGGCCGAGACGCTGCGATGCGAGACTTTCGCTCATGTTTCGGGACAGTTAACAGTCACGTGCCTAATCGGGCCAGTGTTGCATCATCACAAAACTATCATTTGCACATCTTTTTTTTTTTTTTTAAGTCTTTTTAAACCATTCGATAGTCGCGCGCTCCAGACGGTTTTCTGCGCGCTCACAATCACATCCAAAGTGCGTGCATACAAAGCCGCCTCGAACATTATTTTTCTCTGCTTATTTCGCTCAAGTGGCCAAATACACACTAAATGATGTCAAAATGCCCATCCTGGCTAGTATCTTCATAAACAGTCGGTTTTGTCTTAAGTGAATGTAAGCAGTTGTTGAGAAAGAAAACCGTTGTGTGTATCAGATCCGTGCAGTCGGTCTTAAAGGGACAGCAGCCTAATAAAGCTGTTCCGTCTGTCATTAATGTTAATTAAACAACAAAAGACAAAGTGAAGATCACTCACTGCTCTTGACTAAATCACTTTGTAACTTTAATTTTAAGGATTAATTTTTTTTTTAATTTACAGTTTATTAAAACAAACAGAAAGTAAAGAAGTAGCATTAATAGTCATTCATTTTAGTTAACATATGATAAATTTGAACGTAGATTTTTCTTCTTATTTTACATGTATTCTTGTGAAATAATGGAACATTAAATCATGAATATTGTCTCAAAAGTCATGGAAATGTATTGGTAAAAATGTGTACGAACCCTGGCTACAGTAGGCTACAGTAGGCTTATTTAACATAGTAAGAAATATTACAGAAATTGAATAAAGTGTACTAGTAAAACACTGCATAGTCTTCTCTATACCAATCAAACATGAACTGATTCTGATTAAAGATCCAAAAGATATTCAGTTAAGTACAGTGAGTGATTAACACTAATAATGACAGACAGCAGCAGGTAAATTAGGCTGCTGTCCCTTTAAGACCCACTGCACGGATCCAATATATGCAGCAGGCTTCTACACCAAATTCACCAGAATCAGCATCTTAGAATGTCATTCTGAGAGCTTCTCTCTTCTTCAGAAATGAGCTCTAGCCAAATGAGAAAGCCGGTCCAGAAAGTTTGGAAAAGATTTAAAAGTTTAAGAAGTTTTAAAAGCTTAAAGTTTGAATGATTTGAAGGCAATACAGTCTGTCAGAGATGGATAGATAGATAGATAGATAGATAGCTGCTAGATTACCCGTGTGGTTGCTAAGGTGTTGCTATTCGGTTGCTAGGGTACTTGGGGTGGTTACTAGAGCGGTTGCTAGGGTACCCGGGGTGGTTGCTAAGGTGTTGCTATGTGGTTGCTAGGGTACCCGGGGCAGTTGCTAAGGTGTTGCTATGTGGTTGCTAGAGTACCCGGGGCTGTTGCTAAGGTGTTGCTATGCGGTTGCTAAGGTACTTGGGGTGGTTGCTATGCAGTTGCTAGGGTACCCGGGGCGGTTGCTAAGGTGTTGCTATCCGGTTACTAAGGTATTCGGGGTAGGTACTGTAGCAGACGAGCAGGCAAGTTTTGGGCAGCTGATATTGATATTGATTAATGTTACTAATGTTAAAATTTTGCAGCTTGTTAACGTTAGCCTGCGATGTTTCCATTTAATTTACACTAAGATAATGTTAGCAGGGCTAATACTCTCATAACCACGACATAATAAAACAATTGCTTATGGATTTGTTTTGGAACATGAGACTAATTAACGAGTATAGGATTTTTTGATGGCTGATGCAGATCCCATATCTTGGAAAGCATGCTTAACAATTCCTGCAATTAAATTTACTAGGATTTATTAGAAATACATTTAAAAATGAATCAATTAGAAAAAAAGGTGAACTTTGAAAAAAATAAATAAACCGATTTGTACTTAAGATTGCAACTTTTTGGTTTCTAAATTGTTAAAAATGTGGTAAAGAAAAAAGAAGAAGTAAATGCTGTAAGCAATAGCCGGTTGCATAAGCTGCTTGTTTTCTTTAAGACTTGTTATAAACTTGCGGTCAGCTGCATACAAATATAGACGGGTCTGATTTAAATCTGAAAAGTAAGACTGATTACCTGCTTGGTTAACTACTAGTTGGTGAAACTAGTTCTTAAGGCACAGTCTTAACATTAGTGGAAGTCTGTGCACACTGGGAATCAATGAAGAGGAAGAAACGTCATAATAAAAGCCTTCCTTCCCCTTCTTACTCCACACTTTCTGTTTCAGATTGTGAAATCAATTTATAAGCGCTGTATATTTATTCATTTATTTGTATTTATGTATCTATGACAGTGTGTTGCCTTTATATATAGGCATGTGATATAATAATTACAGAATCTGCTACAGTTTACGGCATGTACATACTCTTATACCTTTGTGTTTAGATGTGGGCTGACCAACAAAAAATAAAAACGGCGATATGGAATAATCAAAAGGTTCTGCAGTAATGCAGTGCTGTCACAATAACCTGCAGTGTTCGCTACAAAAGCACAGTGTTTGTTTTGTGTTAGGAGACAAATACAGTTTTGATAAAAAATGCAAAATACACTTTTATGACCAGTAAAATATGTATACAGTACCGGTCAAAAGTTTGGGATCAGAATGATTTTTAATGTTTTTACAGGAGTAAGAAGTGATAGCCAAGATTTATATTGTTAGAAAAGATTTATATTTTGAATAAATGCTGTCCTTTTTAACTTTTTATTCATCAAAGAATCCTGAAAAAAGTATCAGTTTCCCAAAAAAATATTTAGCAGTTGATAATTCTAATAATAAATCAGCATATTAGAATGATTTCTGAAGATCATGTGACACTTTATACTGGAGTAATGATGATGGAAATACAGCTGCGCATCACAGAAATAAATTACAGTTTAACAGATATTCACATAGAAACCATTATTTTATATTGTAATAACATTTCGCAAGATTACTGTTTTTTTTCTGTATTTTTGATCAAATAAACACAGCCTTGATGAGCAGAAGATGTGCATAGTCGATAAGATGGTCATCATCACAAAATACAGAGCGATCAGAACCATGACGCAAAGCTTTCTGCACAAATGTCTAGCTTATTTTGTGGCTACTTATCAAATTTATTAAACAAATGAACGTGAAATATTAATTAGTTTAAATTGACGGGTCAAACTGGCATGGCTTTGACACAATCCAGTGATTTCAAGCAATTACAGAGCAGTTGTAGTTGCTTAATAACCATAAAACGCCTACATTTAGACAAATTAGGCTCATATAGTTAACTATAACGTTTGGTTAAAGTTTATTATGAATATAATCATTTGATGGAAATTCAGCTGCGCATCACAGAAATACATTATATTTTAAAGGATATTATAATAGAAACCATTATTTTATATTGTAATAACATTTTGCAAGATTACTGTTTTTTTTTCTGTATTTTTGATCAAATAAATGCAGCCTTGATGAGCAGAAGAGACTTCTTTAGAAACATTACAAGACTTACTGATCCCAAACTTTTGACCGGTAGTGTGTGTGTGTATATAGATAGATAGATTGCCAGTAATATGTTTATTTTATTTGCACAGTAAGTTCTGTTCATGTAGTCAGTCGGTTCAGTTTGGAATATATGAATATTAAAATCTAATTTATTTCTGTGATCAAAGGCATCATTACTCCAGTCTTCAGTGTCACATGATCTTCAGAAATCATTCTAATATGCTGATTTATTATTAGAATTATCAACAGTTGTGCTGCCAAATATTTTTTTGGAAACTGTGATACTTTTTTCAGGATTCTTTGTTTCTGTATTTTTGATCAAATAAATGCAGCCTTGATGAGCAGAAGAGACTTCTTTAGAAACATTACAAGACTTACTGATCCCAAACTTTTGACCGGTAGTGTGTGTGTGTAGATAGATAGATAGATTGCCAGTAATATGTTTATTTTATTTGCACAGTAAGTTCTGTTCATGTAGTCAGTCGGTTCAGTTTGGAATATATGAATGCACGTTATGATTAGATGAGATGAATGTGGTTGTTTTGACTTGTTCCTGCAGTATGTGCTGGAGGCTGATGCTAAACTGGACCAGCTGCGAGTGCTTGTGGAGGCTGCGGACCGAGAGAAGGTGGAGCTGCTCAATCAGCTGGAGGAGGAGAAGAGGTGCAGTATTCATCCGTCACAAATACGGTTCAAGCTCGTGGATTCTCATCACTTTTAGGATTGTATTTGCATATAGAAATCCTTAGAGCTCATGGATTGATAACTAATGTTGATATTGATGACGCAGGGGCATTTTTGTCCAATAAAATGCATAGAATGAGAATTATATGGAGAATTATATTATATTATCAAATAGTTGATAGTTTTCAAAATAAATAAATACCACTGTCGTAGGAGTAAGAATGTAAAATGTAAATACAAACTGAAGATGATAAAGAAGTATTGTCCCAAACAGGAAGGTGGAGGACCTGCAGTTTCGGGTGGAGGAAGCCTGCATTACCAAAGGAGATTTGGAGGTATTTGAAGATCTTTGCTCTGAACATTCAGACCTAAAGCTGTGGTCACACTAGACTTCGATGCATTCACTAACATGCAAACGAGGGAGAGCTGAAATGCAAGCTCATGCATAGAAATGTATTGTGACTTGTGAATTTCAATGACAAGATGCATGACCAACAGAGGTTCTTAAAACCACAGATTGACCAAACTATGAAAATACTCCATGTATGCATTCAGCAGAACTTTAAACATACGCGCTTTCAATTATTATGCGACTTTGAGTTCATTATATCTGTATTAATTATCTGCAAAAGAGCTGTAATATACAGAAGTCCTAAGAGGCCTTGGATTATTAATATTTTTCTTGTTTTCTCGTGATGTATCAAAAGTTGTTGTCTAAGTTACACAACTGCGCCAACAGGTGGCAGTATAGAGCTGAATATAACTGATGGGGTGTTGTATACTGTACACTTTACTGTACGCATTTGGGACAGAATAAGCACCTTCTTCGTGATCGCTATAGTTTGTGCAGTATTGTTCATTACTGACATTTAACTCATAAATGTTAAATGCTTGAATCAATATGATTATTGTGTGTATCTGTAATCGTTACGTTCTTGCTAGATGCATGACTCACACCGCAATAGTGTTCTGTATCATAAACGAACTGCTTATTAAAAGCAAGGTTGACGTCACTGTATAGTATCTGTTTGCACCTGTATCTTTATCTGTGCATCTTTGAAGTACATGACTGTTCGTTAATAAGTGGAGATGTTGTGTTTATCTAAGACGACGCGCTTCAGCAACGTATTTGTAATGTGCATCTTTGTCCTTATTTATAATCTTTATTGTTAATCATTAAATGTGTATTGATAAATGTGATTTATATATGTAAAAATGTGTCATTTAATTCAGTGATGCTATACCGTGTTGTAATCGTTTGTATTTTCTACATTTCTATGTCAGACAAACACACACACACACACGCTCACACAAACGTTTACACAAACACACAGACACACACACACACTCTCTCACACAAACACACACACACACTTGTAACGCACATGATATCAGTCACAGCATATCCTACATGACTAATAAAAATCCCAAACAAATTTTAGAATAGTTCTCTGCTTCATTCTGAAGGCGCTCCCCCTGTGTTTGCAGTGTTGAACGCTTTGATCATTTAAACGTGTTAATTAATCACACAAATAAATTGTTTAGCGCACTGTCTCTGGAAAAAAATCAGCAGTGATTGCTTAGCCTTTATTTATTGATTGTAGACGTTATTACTAGGCAATTTGCTGAAATATCCACAGCATACAGTATAAGAGCGCATTTATCTGTGTGTGATCTGTGTTTGTTACTATAGCAACAGTAGATCAAACAATCATTGTAAAAAAAAAAAAAACTAATTTTATGTCATGTCGAGATCACGAGAAAACTAGAAAGAAAAATATTCATAATCCACGGCCTCTTAGGACTTCCGTAGTAATATATCTGTGTTTATTCTTTCTGGCCTCGTCCTGTTCCTAAATCAAGCACTCTTGATGGGATCGTTTGCACCCTTCATCATTGCACATTTGAGTTGTTTTCATGTCCTGACCTACCTATTCAAAAATAACTCTCTTCATGCGTTCAGATTCAAGAAACTGTTGGCTAATGATTTGACGTTATAAAACATGCACATCAGCAACCTAGACGATGCTTTACATGCTTCAACAGCCGTAGAAATAAAATACAAGTGAATTTCCATTGAAAATGGGTACTAAATGATCTCCTTTTTTGAAGTCGATCGTCAAGCCCACGCAGATGTCAGATGCTTTTGTTTTTCGCACTTCGTAGGATAATAAGTTCTGAATTAATCTGTAATGCCCTAACAAGTCACTAACCTACATGAAGACCTCATTGTGCGAGCTTCAGCATCATCCTGTTTCATTGGATTTAGTGCTTGGTCATCAGGAACAACGTAACGTTATCAGATTTTTTATTGTTCCTCTCCTCGTTGTTGTGGTCGAAGTACTGTTTTTGTTTCTGTTCCTAATGCTGCATGGCGTCTGGTGTTGTCTGTAAGCACTGATGCTCTGCTACACTTTCCTCCGCTGTGGCATTGGTCATCACGACATCTTCCTCCTCCTCTTTTTCCTCGCTACACCTCCACAGCTCACCCCTCGTCTCTCTGCATCAGGCTGGCATGTGACGTGGCACTGGTTGTGTTTCTTCCTCTCCTCTCTCTGTACTAACAGACGCAGACCCAGCTGGAGCATGCCCTTCTTAAGGAGCTTGAACAGAGTCTTCTCTTTGAAAAGACCAAAGCTGACAAACTGCAGAGGGAGTTAGAAGACTCTAGGGTAATGGATCTTCATTTGGGCTACGGGAAGATATGCCACAGTGCTCCAGCTAACATTTAGTTTTCTGTGTCAGTGAGGGATCTTCACTGCATGTTGTTCCAATTAATAACTAATACTAGGAATGATTACTAACATGCACTAAATATCTCATTGCTGTAATATCATTGTGGTGTCTTGATATACATATAGGTATATAGAAGAACACAGATTTGTTTTATATGGGGTTCCCACAGCCGTAGAGAACCTGAAAGCATCAGGAGATTGTAAGTTGTCCAATGGAAATCAGTACAACCTTAGGAAGTATTTTTCCATTCATTTCTCCCATAGGGATTTTTAAAAAGTTTTCATTAAAAGCATTTTAAGCCATGAACCAAACCACCCAGCTATAAGGTGAATCAGAACATAACTAACTTTTATTTGATGCACAAAACTATTTCAAAATCAGGGAAAAAAGACAGGTACAAGATGGTGTACTTAATGGCTGTAATGAGGGAAAGAATTATTCATTTAAAGTTGTTGATTATATGTATATCTAGTGGCCAAAACTGATGTGCGGAGAGAATATTTCTCATTTGCTTAGTTTTAATGACAAATGAAAATCTGGAATCTGAGGGTGCAAAAAAATCTAAATATTGAGAAAATCATCTTTAAAGTTGTCCAAATGAAGTTCTTAGCAATGCATATTACTAATCAAAAATTAAGTTTTGATATATTTACGGTAGGACATTTACAAACCATCTTCATGGAACATGATGATAACTTAATATCCTAATGATTTTTGGCATAAAAGAAAAATTTATAATTTTGACCCATACAATGTATTGTTGACTATTGCTACAAATATACCCCAGCGACTTAACACTGCTTTTGTGCTCCAGGGTCACAAATGTGGATTTTATTTTACTGTGCACAAAAATGCATAGAAAAACAAAAGTCTTACAGGAAATAAAGCATACATGGAATACAAGAGTATAAATTAGCAGGGCAGTACTGAAGATTTTTGTCATGATGTTTCATTGCGTTATTGCAAATGAAACAATTGAGCACATGCATTAGTTTTACACTCCTAGCACAACTATGCAATATGATTACAAAATCCTATAAAATAATAAAATGTTTGAATAAAGGAAAAATATCCATTTTCCTAGACCGGACATCACTTCTGGCCACTTCTGTATATATAGAAACAATATATTTTATGTTTTGCAAAATCACTTGCCATGGCATTTTCTTCACAGCATCATGAATAATGCACTTTTTCACGATTGAAAAAAAAGCTGAAGTAATGCAAACTGATGGCTTCAACTAAAGCATATATTGTCAATTAACAGCCTCAAAGCTCACAACAGGTTTGGCTTTAAAAGTTTATAAGCTATTGTTAAAAACCTGTTCCCTTGTGGAAAAAAAAAATCAATGGCATTTTTACTTTCGGAACCCAGCTGTTGTGCTATAACAGAGGGTTGAAGGTCTTGCTAAATTTAATAACAATACAAAAAGACATATAAATGGAAATCTGCACACAATGTCTATAAAGTAATTTCTAAAAAAAAAAAAAAATCCTTGATCCTAGACCATGAATAACTGACAAGATCATGATAATCCATTCATGTGGGAACCCTGTTAGATGATCAGTTTTGGGGTTGCTCACTTGTAAAATCATGATTCCTCCCAATTCTGTCCCAGATTCCTCGTTTCAATGCTTCTTTACTTACAACCCCAATTCCAGAAGAGTTGGGACATTTTATGAAATGCCAAAAAATCAAGAATCTGTGATTTGTTCGTTCTCTTTAACCTTCATTTAATTGACTAAAGTACAAAGATGTTTTCACTGGCCAACTTAATTTTATTTTGTAAATATAAGCACATTTTGATGGCTGCAACACACTCCAAAAAAGTTGGGACAGAGGCATGTTTAACACTGTGTTACATGTTTAATTGTTTGGGAATCGAGGATACTAATTGTTAAAGTTCTGCCAGCAAAATTTCCGTCCAATCTGGCTTGATACAAGACTTCAGAAGCTCAGCAGTCTGTGATCGTCGTTGTCTGATTCTCCTTTTCATGTCTAGTCATACATGTTCAATAAGAGACAGATCTGGACTGATCTAACACATTCACTCTGTGTCTACAGAACCACGCTGCTGTAGCACATGCAGAATGAGACCTAGCATTGTCTTGATCTAATAACCATGGACTTCCCGTGAAAGACGCCATCTTGATGGCAGTATATGTCTCTGTACAATCCCAGTATATGCCTTCATGTCAATGGTATCTTCGCACATATGCCAGTCACTCATGCTGTTTGCTCTGATAAACCCGTATGCCATGACAGACGTTTGCTTCTGCATCTGTCGCTGATGAATGTCTGGATGCTCCCTTTGGTCTGAGAACTCAACATCCATTGTGGACTGATCTGAGCACAGCACACATTTCCACTGTCTTTCTGACTCTCTGAGATGAGTTCTGGCCCAGAGAACCCCGCTGCATCACTGCGTAGAGCTGATGTATAGCTTTCTCCTAGAGTAACAGAGATTCAGGTTGCATTTACTGATGCAGCGGCAGACTGTGTTAAGTGACAGTGGTTTTCTGAAGTACTCCTGAGCCCATGCGGCTATATTTCACACCGCAGAATGACGCTTTCTCATGCAGTGCCATCTGAGGGGTCAAAGGTCACACACATTCACCTCAGGTTTCCTGCTTTGCCCTACACAGACTGAGATTTCTCCGGATTCCCTGAATCTTTTCACAATATTATGTATGGTAGTTGGTGAAAGATCTAAATTCTTTGCGATTTTGCATTGAGAAATGTGATGTTTGATTTGTGTGACACTTCTCTCATGGCACAAAGTGGCTTTGCTGGCAAAGACTGAGATGCTCCTTTTATTCCCAAACCTGATCCAATTCACCTGCTTACTGTGAACTGTTTAACTGGGATATTCTATAACCTTTTCCCTTATATTTTGCCTCTGTCCCAACTTTTTTTGGAGTGTGTTGCAGCCATCAACATCAAAAATTGTTTATATTTACAAAATGCATTTAAGTTGGTCAGTCTTTTCGTTGTGCTTTTGTCAATTAAATAAAAGTTAAAGATAATTAACAAATCACAGATTCTTGATTCTACTGCATTTTACAAAACATCCCAACTTTTCTGGAATTGGGGTTGTAGCTTAGGTAGCATTGCTCCTATACATGGAAAAGAGCTACACTTGTATGAAAATCTATTTAAATGATCCACTTCTTAACCTGAAAAGATGATCATATCCGTACCACCAAATAAGTTCTCACTTATCCACACAGCACATTTAGTTTACTAAAAGAGCAGTTTTCTCTGTTAGGTGGCCACGGTCTCTGAGAAGTCCCGTATCTTGGAGTTAGAGCGGGATCTTGCCTTGCGGGACACTGAGGTAGCTGCTCTTCGCAAGTCTTTGGAAGCTGTCTCGGGGCAAGACGGGGTTCCTGAGGAGGAGCTGAGCTCTCTCCACACGCAGCTGGCGAAGAATAACGAGCAGCTTTCGGGTCAGCTGGCCAAATCTAAGGAGGAGAATTCAAATATCATTGCGGAGTGGCGCGCTAAACTAGCATCGGTCGAGGCCTCGCACCAGCAAGCCTTGGAGGAGCTCAGAGCCTCCCACGAGGCAGGCACGTCTGAGCTGGAGGAGGTGCGTAATGCTCTGGAACAGCTGGAGCTGACACATAAACTGGAGCTCGAGGAGCTCGCGAACAAGCGTGCTTCTGAAGCCATGGGCTGGACGGGTGATGCCAAAGAGCACAAGGCACAGCTCCTGAAAGTCAGCGAGGAGAGCGAACGGCTGGTAGAAACGCTGCGCACCAGTCTGGAGAAGGCAGAGGAGCAGCACCTGGTGGAGATGGAGGAGGTGTTGGGAAAACTTCACAGTGCCGAGCTCAGGGTGAAAGAGCTGGAGGACGCGGGAGTTAAGCTAGGTCAGCAGCTGCGAGAAAAGGCAGAAGAAGCTCTGGAGCAAGAAACAGCTCTTCAGACGCTTCAGTCACAGCACAGTCAAGAGAACCGAGACATGCAGAGGTTATTGACCCAAATAGAGGAGGCAAAAAGCCAAGCCAGATCTCAGGAAGAAAAGGTAGGCCTTCACGTCCATTTATCCCACAACTGCAGGAACATATTATACAGCGTATGCATGTCAAGGAATCTGAAAAGAGTGATAGTGAAGAATCAACAGCAGTTGCCAATGATTTTGGCACAAAATGGTTCTTTGGAGTGAGAACTCGGTTAGATACTTAACTATTAAATAACAAAATTAACGTGAATGTATTGTAAAGTGCAGGCGGTTCTCTGCAGGATAACAAAGCATGCTTTGCCACAAGACCCCCATTCTTCTCCCTAAAATGCTTCATGTGGCCTAGTGTGTTTTTGATTTAAAGTCAAAAGACTTTTGATGGAGAAAACAATGCATCAAATGCTTTAGCAGAAACTGCGTGCGATTCTCTGAGTCTGATATTAGAGAACAAATCCCTAAAAAGGTCCCTTTTTATGTTTAGATATTCCAAGACTATTAAGACCAAGAATTATGAGTGATGAAATAACGCTTAGATCAATAATAACAAATGTAAACCTAATAAACATTTAAGGAGGATTACTCTGGATTATTCTTTTCTGACCACTTTATTCTGAGTTTTTTTTTTCTCGCAGAAACATTGATTGCATGCCTCATACACAACCAATATAGTAAACTAAGTAGTGAACTTTATGCAACGGGAGTCAATATAAATGTAATGCTGTAATCGACGCATGCCATTCAGCTGAATGTCCAAGTTGCTCTTTTCCATTAAACATAAATGCATGGAAACTGGGCCTGTCAAGCTCATTGACAAGAATTTTAGAAGTATTTCACCTCTTCTGAAGCCATACAATAGCTTTATATTTATATATTTATATGCCAGATTTGACATCAGTGGTGTTCAGTGACCGTGATTTGCACTTGTCTTTTCACGGTTTGCAATGCACCAGGTTTTTACAGTAACAGTCTTGTGCTGTTCATTCATGCATTCATTCTTATTGTTTGATCATTTCATTTGTGCATTGTGCATTATAGGGCTGCACGATTAACTGAAATAAAACCGAAGTCACAGTATGGCTTAGTGTGATTGTCAAATTGCGAAGGCTGTGATTTAATCAAGTAAATATATGTGCTGCGTGTTTCAGAGTAAATGCTGCTCCAAACAAACTCTTGGGTATCTGAGAACGTAACATGCGCCAACCATCTTCCCATACTTGTAGTGAAAAGCACTTATCAACAAATGAATTGGGAAAGAAATTATATTTCAATATTCCTATGAAATATTAGATATTATTATGAAAATCTTGCCAATTATTACTCCCATTATTACACTTCTTTTTTCATTACATGTTGCCCCAAGGACACATTAATATGCAAAGTGTATAGATACATTGTAAACCCTCTTATGGACATTTTACACACATACTGCATAAAGCAAAATGGTATATCAGATCATCCTGTTATATCTTTCATAACATAGTTGAGAATCATCTTTATACAAAGTTTGGTATAAAAAAATCCTGAAACCTAAAAATTTATTGTTTTTGCCTATTTATGTTTATTCATGTCTTTTTATTTTTTCCTACAGAGAACACAACATAACATAAGAATAAAATATCATTTTTCAAAAATGTTATTTTAAATGTTATTTTCTTATGTTCTAAACAATGTAATGACATGAAAAAATACTAAATTCACAAAACTTTTTTTTTCTGGGTCTCAGGAGGTTAAGGGATATTTGATGGGAAAGTTTGATGGAAATTAAGACTTTTTTTAAAATACTTTTTTATTTTACAGTGAAATATTACAATTGTAACATTTCTTATTTTGTTTTAGTAAATTTTTTATGTTCATTTGGTAACATTATTATTATTTAATTGCCGTATTATTGATATACAATCATACCATTTTTGCTAAATTGTGCGGCCGTATACAAACAAGCACAGCAATCGCAATGACAATTTTTATCAGAAAAATCACAGTTCAGTTTTTTCTCCAAATCGTGCAGCCCTGTTAGCATTGTTCTCAACAGCGTTATGAGATTTTATTTCCCATAATATTCCAGTCCTTCACTTTTGTTTAAGTTCTACTTTGTGCGACCGGCACGGGTCTCTTTGAGTTTTTGTGTGTGACATTGCTCATGTTTTGTCCCTGTCGTCTCCCTCCATTATGGTGCGATACCGTGCTGTAGGTCACAGAGTTGATCTCAGTACTAGAGGTTAAACAGCAAGAGCTGAGTGGCCTGCTGCAGGAAAAGCGCTCTCTGGAGCAAGAAGTTAGTGTGCTGGTAAGTGACGGTGTAAAGATACCTTCATGGAAACTGACTAGAGAAAAATACTTACGCAAAATCGCTTAGGTAAATGGTAATAAAAGTACTTAAAGGGATAGTTCACCCAAAAATTAATATGTTGCCATTTACATTTCTGTTGTTTTTCTTTAATAATGAAAGTCAGCGTGGTCCAGTGTTGTTTTAGACCCCGCTGATTTTTAATATGTGACCCTGGAGCACGAAACCAGTCTTAAGTGTCAATTTTTCGATATTGAGATGTATACATCATCTGAAAGCTGAATAAATAAGCTTAAAATCTGGAATCTGAGGGTGCATAAAAATCTAAATATTGAGAAAATCATCTTTAAAGTTGTCCAAATGAAGTTCTTAGCAATGCATATTACTAATCAAAAATTAAGTTTTGATATATTTACGGTAGGAGATCCTAATGATTTTTAGCATAAAAGAAAAATCTATAATTTTGACGCGTAAAATGTATTGTTGGCTATTGCTACAAATATACCCCAGCGACTTAAGACTGCTTTTGTGCTCCAGGGTCACATATGTCAGCTTTCGTGATCCAAAGAAGAAAGTGAGTCATACAGGTCATTCATCTTTGGGTGAACTACATCTTTAAATACATCACAAGTACATTTGAATGGCACGAATAATGACACCGCTGCTTATGAAGGGGTTCTGGAATCTGTGTTTAGGATATGTAGGAGTCAAACTCCAGAAGCACTGATTTAGAGACACGAAGAAGACAAGGCATTAAGCATTTGATTAATCCTCAGATCCATTCACGTTCTTCATTTTCCAGAAACAGAATCTTGAAAACACCTCTAATGATCAAGCCAAATCTGCTCAGACTAATCAAGGTATGTGTACGCTCAGATTACTCGCGGCTTGACTTATGTCAGATTCGATAGAGCTCTACGTTCGGCGTGATTGATGATCTTGATGTCTTGTTCCGTCTTAAGGTTTACAGAGAAATTTGAAAGCAAGCGAGGAAAGGATACTGCTGCTGACCAAAGACAAAACTAAACTTGAGAATGACATTGTGGACATGACGAAATCAACGGGCGACAGCTCTACTCTAATAACAAAGCTGAATGAGGAAATCAAGCAGAAAGAGAGGTTTGATTAAGCTGCTTAAAAACAACCGTAGAGAAAGAAAACAAGTCGTTAACCTCGGTTTACAGCTTAGCTTGGTTTGGTTTGTGGGGCCTGAAACATATATTGGTGGACTAAATCAATCATAGCTATAATTCACGAGTCCTGCCTGATTTCAGGAGACTAGAGGAGCTTCAGAAGCAGCTTGAAGAGGAGAGGGAGAAGGCAGCTCATGCGGAGGAGGAACGCTCTCGAGCCAAAAGCCTGGAGCAGAAACACCGAGCAGAGCTTTCCAGCCTGCAGGAGACGATCAAGCTTCTGGTGAGAACGTCTCCCATCCCACACTGTAAACAATCTAATCTGTAGTTTTTACTAAATAATTTTGGCAGCTTAATAATTATGTGTAAAATACAGAAAAGCTGTAAAAACATTTACAGAACCACCTGTAAATTTTACAGTATAAAACTGTAATTTACAAACAAGAACATTTGAGTGTAAACTAGTAAATTCAACAACGCACACTGATACTAAAATCTGTTTTGTGTCTTTAACATAAACCGGCAACCACTATAATAATGCAGGTGGTAAAAGAGACAGCAATATGAAGAATCAGTTCATCACAAGAAGCTTTTCCACAAGCTGAAGTATATACTAATATATAGAAGGTGCACAGAGTCATTCACGCAAACACTAAATACCATCCCGGTGACTCACATGATACTTAACCCTCTTAGCGCCAAAGTTGCAAAATTGCGACAAGACGTCATACTTAATCAAATAGACGGTAGTTCCTAATATGGTGTAATATCTCATTTGTATTCCCTACCACTAGATGGCAGACATGTAGTACTTTGATTCTAGACCAAAATTACGTCACCTTCCTATTCAAAGTGTTCGAGGAAAGAGCAGAGCAAGTGAGCTATCTTATTTACACCCCACATAAACTTTCGGTCATGCCCAACATTTTTCTAATTTACATTAGACCTCTATCTTTAAGCCCTTTCAAACCACAAGCTTTTGAAATCTTGATGTCAAAATCCAGCATTTTTCCAAAAAACCCTGGCGCCTAAAGGGTTAAATAATGCAATACACATTCATTAAACCACAGAAGATGTAACATAAACCCCAAATGTACTACATAACTGATAACAAACTTGACAAAACTATTAAGAAACATGATTATTAAACAAAATACTGTCAAATGTGGAGTCACGCAGGGAATTCTGGGAATATCAGTTTACGGTTTTATACTGTAAATTATACGTTGATTTGTTATTTTTTTTACTTCTAAAAATTTTACAATTAACAGCATTTTACTGTAAAATTGCATGAAATGTCTGGTTAGATATTTTACAATTTTTCCCTGTGTATATAGTACGGGAACTTACTGTTAACCTATTAACAACATAGCGTTTTTACAGTATGTTACAGTTAAAATTGCACTCATTTTTTACACTCATTACACACCCTTACTGTGTTTAAGTGTAATGATTTAAAGAGATAGATCACCCAAAAATTTAATTGTGTCATCATTTACTCACTCTCATGTCGTTTCAAACCCAGAAGACTTTGGTTCGTCTTCAAAACACAAAGTAAGACATTTTAAATGAAACTTTAGAGGTTTCTGTCCCTTCATTGAAAGTCAGGGAAAGCAAAAGAGTCATAAAGGCTGCATAAAACGAATCCCTATGAATCAAGCAGTTCAATCCAGAGATATGATTGCTTTATGTCATGAATAGATTTAACGTTTTGGATCTTCTAAAGTCAAATATACGTTTGGCAATAGGGCCAAAAATATTATCATGATATTTTTTCCCATATGATACAATATTGATATTTACCGTTAATGGGGAAGGAAATACTTTCCACATGTTTGTTAGACCTTAAGAATAAAAAATAATAATAATAAGCATAACTTTGTTCACAATTAAACTCCACATAGTAAGCAAACCTTTTAATTTAGGGCCCCGTGAAATCCATTTTATTTTCCCCTAAATTCTGTGTTTTCCATTTACTTTTTTTCTGGATTCTGCGTTTTATGATTCGATACAAATGTATCATTAGAAAAAAATTGTGTCTAATGAATCAATAAAACTTTAACAGTTCAATCGTTCTTTTAAAATACAATCAAAGTAGATTAATTTACAACAAAACATTGCATTTTCATTTAGTCAAGCCAGATGCTGCACAACAGAACTGTGTAAATTCATGTAAAAATGCCTGGATTGTATGATATTCCTTCAAAATAATAATAATAATAATATTACTTTGAGAATTATACTTTAGTATACAACAGTAATATACAGTATTTCTGTCATAATTTCAAGTTAAACCTGACTTTTATTTTTTCGGTCTCAGTGTGTTTTACGGTAGTTTTTTCTCAAAGTGAACGCTGTAAAGCTGCTGACTCTCAGAGCAGCTCTGGAGATGAAGTTCATGTCCTCAGACTCATGTATGACTTGAAAATGGACATTGTGTCATGCGTCCTCAGGAGAAGAGCGCCGCAGACAATCAGGCTAAAGCCAAAGACGTGCTTGCTGCGGGAGAGAAAGCGCTTGCCGACGCTGTGGAGCGCCATTCCAAAGAACTGCAGGAACTACGCAGCGAGTTTGATTCAGTAAGTTTTAGGAGTTTATTCTCCTGTCCTGGAAAGTCTGTCTTGCAGAGATGGACTAAAAATGACCTTCCAAAATGTACTGCCAGATTCCTGAAGATAAATTCTTGAAAGAGTGGCACAAGAGGATGTGGTGCTGGTTTTTCACTTCCAGCCTTCATAGACAATTATATATAATTTATCAATGATTAAAGACAAGTTATTTAGATTGATGTGGTTTAGAATTGGTAAAATGTGCTTGGAAATAAAATATGACCAGAATATCAACTTGCATAATAATTATGCACGCACTGTAAGGACCAAACGGGACGAAGTGTCATCTCTGTGAGATTGCTAGTCATTGGTAACAGGATCGTGACACTCCTGATGTGTTTTGTGCTTCTGACACTGAAACGCCAAACCCAGACTAGACCCAAGTGTTAGAATCTAGACACTACGCCCGAACACGCAACACTTTAAGAGATATTGTAACAGATGATAATATATTCTGTATATATATACGTGTGTGTGTGTGTGTGTGTGAGTGTGTGAGTGTGTGTGTGTGTGTGTGTGTGTGTGTG